ATTTTAATAATGTAAATTATGTGAAAAATAATGCGTTTTTCGAACCACCAAGCATGAGAGCATGTTCTAGTACACCCCCAAAACAAAATCAAGACTTTGTAAAAGAGCATAATAGGACCCCTTTAAGCCGAAGACTGAAAGACTTACAAAGGCAAAAAATGAGCGTAAGCATCAGTACAGCTTAAACAAGGTGGAAAGATTTGATGACTTAGACCAAGTTGCTTCTGTTTTGCTGGGACAGATAAAGGAATTAATTACTGTGTGTAGTAGGCCATGCTCTAAAACTGATTAGTGTCGTTGTAATAAAATCCTGATCCACATCGATAGATGGCAGTGCAAAATCTAACACCACTGTCGTATCGGTACTTAAAGTACACAAAGAACAGCGATGCTAAAGTTAGCTAAAGGACTACTGAATGCCCCTTTAATGTCTATCTGAAATCAGTCTTAATGAAATCTGAATTTTCTAATTTAACATGAGAATGACTCCCTTCTCCATCTTCCATTCTGGAACTACACAAACAAACTGTAAATCAGCTAAATATGACCAATTAGTGAAAACTTGTGTAAAGTGGGTCAGTTCTATAGGACATGTATTGAACTAAACCTATTTTGATACATGTCCTATAACAGAATTTTTCTACTCAACTGAAAACAGCTACATTTTTATATGGTCAATAATGTGCCAGCCAATGGAAATGTCCTGACATTTGGGTAAGCAGGGTCTTGTGACCTTTATCCAGGGATGTGACTGCAATGTAAACACAATGACGCTGGGGTGTGTACACTGACAACATGAGAACTGGATAGAAAGACAGATTCAGAGAGATAAAACCAGTGGAAAACATCTAATGGGTTCAAATCCATAGCGACTGACAATCTAAAACAAACATAATGGCATGGCGAGCTGAGATATGCCTCACCTCTAGAATATGATCTCCAGGAGCCAGCTTGCCATCCCGTGCAGCCAGTGAATCACGCACAATCTCCTGAATGACGATGTTGCCCAAGGGTGTGTCCTTCCCTCCTACTATACGCAATCCCAGATCCTCATCTGGATCCTCTCGAAGCAGCTCCACCACAGTCGCCTCTGCCACAAGACTGGACCTCAGAGGGGTGTCTGGAAAACCAAAAGACCATCAGGAACCTGATTTACAAATGCTTAAAAACTAAGTAGTTCGACATATGGCAGTAACACAAGCAGTTTGCTCGTGGCTGCTTTGGAATGAGTCATTTATTTTGGGGAAGCACACAAATGTATGATGTAATATTCCCTTGAGATATTGAGAGAGTTGCTATGCTAGGTGACTTTATGACTAACAGCATTTCCATTAATCCAGATGACAGGTCCAGACTCCCCCCAGGTGTTTTAGAGCTTTAATCCCAAAAAAAGTTGATGTGAATCTCCATGAGTGTAAATGTCCTCAGACAGTGACGATTGTTGGTTTTAATGCTATAATTTATTTTGATGCAATATTAATAACATCCTGACACTCCTCAGCCATCTACTCACAAGATTAAGGGCCATATGAAAGATTCCCTGTTTTGGTTTACCTAAAAGTAAACACAGCTGCAAATCAATTTCCTCAGCTTTTCACCGTCTGTGCTACACTCTTCTCACCTTTACTCCTGAGCTACCACAAATCAAAAACATGTTACAACCGTAACACGCCCCAAAAAAACCCCCACCAAGAATGTGCATTATTCTTTTCTAAATCTAATCCTTATCAGGTGGTGTACAGTACAAAAAAAAAAGAGATATTATACAAATATTATATATGTAATTATTTTACCTAAATATGTTAAAAATAACACACTAAAAGCTGAAATCAGTAATTTTAAATGCTATAAAATGCTACATAAAATTAAAAATCTATAAAATAAAAATTATTTATTTTGTTATTGTGTGTTCGCAACAGAATGTTTAAGATTAAGTTTAAGTGGGTGTTAGATGAGAGCAAAGCTAATCTAGGGGAGGGGAAATATGCATGAACAATTAAATACCAAGAATGTGCATTATTCTTTTCTAAATCTAATCCTTATCAGGTGGTGTACAGTACAAAAAAAAGAGATATTATACAAATATTATATATGTAATTATTTTACCTAAATATGTTAAAAATAACACACTAAAAGCTGAAATCAGTAATTTTAAATGCTATAAAATGCTACATAAAATGAAAAATCTATAAAATAAAAATTATTTATTGTGTTATTGTGTGTTCGCAACAGAATGTTTAAGATTAAGTTTAAGTGGGTGTTAGATGACAGCAAAGCTAATCTAGGGGAGGGGAAATATGCATGAACAATTAAATATCCAATACCGACCAAAAAAAAAAAAAAAACTGCTAAATTATCTGATTACCATTTTGGTAACGATATTCCATAAAATTATGCACATACTCCTGATTTTATTTAAATTTGGAATATCATAAATACTTAGATATGGATCTGCTAATGCTCATAGCTCTTCCACCTTCAATACCACGACTGAGGTGCCCTTGAGCAAGGCACCGAAGCAATAAAAAAAAAAAAACTGCTAAATTATCTGATTACCATTTTGGTAACGATATTCCATAAAATTATGCACATACTCCTGATTTTAATTAAATTTGGAATATCATAAATACTTAGATATGGATCTGCTAATGCTCATAGGGGTTTGTAATAATATTTTTCACTCACTTCACAAGAAAAACAGAAAGTGGACAGAAAGTGCTATACCAGCTTCACCCTCTTCAAATGCCGGATTGACCAGTCCAGGTTCTGAGGGTCCACCGAGTTGACCTGTGCGTGCGATCGGGGTAGACTTGGCGTCAGATAAATCTCCATCTGATTTGCTTCCCTTTAACTCGTTCCAGGAGGGTCTCTTTTTTCTCTCCGCCTCTTCCCTGAGTCGTCTGAATGCAGGACATCTGAGAAAGAGAGAATTGCAGCACACCGAGTCAGAGAGAACTTCTGCATCATTACTCAGTGGTCTGCTGTTAATTAACCTACAAGACATTTATTACCAGATGGCAGCAACAGTAACTAAAAATATCCTAAACATGCACCAATGCTGACTACTGCTCTGGATCTTATCTTCCATATTCAGGAGTCAGCAGAAAACAGCAGCGAAAAACAAGTCAATGCTTAATCAGTTCAGTGCAAAGCTACGTAGCATTTATCTATTAAAGATGAACATGCTCGGGGAGTGTGAAATCTCAGTACAGAAACAAGAGGAGCTATGCAGATGAAGACACAAACAGGCTTTTCTGCTGCATTGCAGGGAAGGAGATGGTACAGGTAAAAAAAAAAAAAAGCGAGCAGAATCAGGTCTAGTTTGGGTTTAACCATGTCAACACCTCCCTCCCCATCCCGCAGCTGCTCTCTCTGTGTTTACATTGTGCTGTCCCTGACCACGTGAACTATCAGCCAAACAACCTTTAGACCATGCTTTACATCACAGAAGATAAGAATATTATAAAACGGCAGAAAGAAAACCCATGTAAGGGAGATGAACGCTGAGGCACAGGGTTATTCTATGCAGTGTTCCAATAGTTTAAACAGAAGAGCAATAACACCAAATTCATGGGTTTTATTCCCAGGGGCTTTTTCCTTTTTTGCATACCATATCACCTATATCATATACTATGGCTTTGGATTAAGTGAATCAACCAATTAGTGAATTATATATTTTATACTGAACTGTAGAAACTATAAGTGTGTGCAACTAAACAATTGTGAGCAGGGTTAAAAACTTAATACAGCTTAAAGCCTTTAACTAAACAGGCAAAAATTAAACACGTCAACTCCCATGCATTCCTGGAAGAGGTGACAAGGCTGAACTATCTGCACACATTCTATAGTAATCACTCATGTGATTCCTAATTAACTCCATTATGTAAAAGAGTCACCCTGTTCTTTCACTAGTCGGTCATACGGTCCACTCGTGTCTATTCTTTAATCCTGCTCAGTTCTCTCAAATCTCTCTGTTCACATGAAACCTGGATAAGTGGAATTCCACAAATGTTTCAGCAGCTTTCTTAATGGCTACATGTGCATATTTATCCACCGACTTCTCATAACTGATTTAATTTTATTTCTACAGAATGATATCTGCTTTATCGATGTCTACATCTCTTCGACTTTATGCTATGTTTCCCTAGTGATAGGTAAACATTTCCTTGGTGGCACGCACTAACCTGTTGTGAAGATGGGGCTGCAGTTCGCAGCGTTGCATGCTCTGCTGGCACTCGCTGCGGAATGGGCACAGCACGGCCAATTTGTGCAGTAGGTTGCGCACCAGTAGGCTGGAGGCACGGCATTGCTGTAGCTGAAGCCTCTGGCGGTCGACGGGACAGAAGTCCTGGTCGTGCAGGAAGTTGCTGAGGCAGTGAAAGCAGTACGTGTGGCCACACGGTGTGTCCATGGGCTGCAACAGAGGCTGGAGGCAGATGTGGCACACCAGCTCGTCATCCACCTCATCCTGATATTCAAACAGGTGACTGTCCCGACCATCATGACACTGTCCACATTCCTTACACACCCGCGCCCACGTTACGCCACCCACCGGTGGAGATGCCTTGGGTTCCATCATGGCCTGAAGAAGTTAAGCTGGATGTCCGCAAGGGCTGGAGAGCTAATGCCGCTTTCTCAGCTTGCAAACTCTACATCAGCTTCATTAGATGAGAAGCAATCAAATATTTCCAATCCAGAAAGAGAACAATCTGCTAGCCGCTTCATCTACACCCAAGTTTCTGTTGGAAAAAAGAACAAAGGAAAACTGAAGCTCACGTCAAGCATTCTTTTTTTGGCTCATGCCGGCTGGACAGGAAATGACATGGATCCACTTAACCACAACAATATGGGAAGAGGGCTGCAGCTGTATCCTTTCCATGAGTTTCCTTCCACAACAGCAATCTGAGTTTGGCTAACTATCACTGTTCAAGTCATTAAACGGGTTAAGCTCTGTGAAATGACAGGAGGGCAGCAGTCAAAACTCACCTACTAGGGCGAACAAAGCAGCTGCCCAAAAAAAAGAGCAAGAACTTAAAATGAATAGTGTAGAAATTACAAGCTTGTTGTTAATGACTTCATGCCCGATCAGTAATGGGCCGCTTCCCTCTGTGAGCCACATAATCTCTGCTAAATCCATTTACAATGAAACATTCAAGATGTCATGTGGTGTGACTACTTAAAAACTCAAAAATATTTTATGAATTGATAATTGAACAATATTATTATTAAGTAATAATCACAACAAAAAGTATTTTAACAATTATTATTTTTAAAAGATTCAAATGTGTAGTCACATGTATTCAAAGTGTAAGCAATTATTTTTCAGGTGGTCAAACATGATATTTTAAAATTTCAATACAATCTTGAAAGTGTTTCAAAACCAACATCAATTTAGTGCATGTTTTTAAAATTAGATTCTTCTTTTTATTTATTGTGGGTACTCATGTCAGTGACCCTCATAATAACACTATAAAAAAAATTCTCGTTTAGAATACCATAAATACATAATGATAACACCACATCAAAAAAAAAATTCATTCAATACAAACAATTAATAACACAATGCAATGACACAATTACAACCTGGCACTATAATGGATGAGCAAAACAAACACACTGTCTGCCATGAATGTGAGGTACTAAATCTCAATCATTATTCCAACCCACCTCAGATGCTGGCAGTGCAGTCAGACTCCCAGCAGCCACTGCATGAAAACAAGAAACTCACGCCCAACAGCTGCGCTGTGCTGGCCGCCTGCAGCCTGACTGAAACCAGAGCCCGTCATCTAAACTCAACTAGGGACATAGTGTGTTTGTGTGTGTGTGTATGCAAGGACATGCAGTTAAAGGGGACCTCAACAGACTGGAGAGAAGCGTTCAGAGTCCGGCTGTGTCAACCCAGGAGGAGGGGTTGAGAGTGTGTGTGTGTGTGTGTATGTGACGGAGGACGAGGGGGAGTGTAGACTGCTGATGTGGTACTAGTGCAGGCAGAGCATTCTAAGAACCAAGCTCAACCTCTGGCCAATTACACAGTGAGTTATGCGTGTGTGTTGTCCGAGGTCAAGCAGGACATATTTCTCTCGTTCACTGACCTCCTTCATTTTCTAAAGATAACTGAATGGACATAACCCAATGAGTGCAATAATTAACACAAAATCAGTGATTCACAACCCAAAAAATGATTACCACTGGGGCAAATCAAGTAGAATTCATTTATCACTGTTAAGGGGGGGGAAAACTCTTACCATATAATATATATCAGGGGTTTTCAAAGTTTTAGATGCAATAGACCACCAATATTATTTAATATGATTAAGGAACTCCCATCCTAAAATTTAAAATGTAGCTACACACTTTATGTATAAAAGACCCAATTTATACTGTGAAAAATGATTATGTATGTGTAAAATTTTATTTGGCAAATATTTTATGTTCTATTACACTTTTTTTCTATCTATAGGCTAGTACTCTAATGTTAGGTATATTATTTATATAATTTTTTATATAATTTGTTTTTCAGGATTTATTTAGCTAAAAATGATAAATTAATAATAATTTAGTTCAATTTATTTTGTTTAATATTATATTTACATTTTCAACATTGTTTTATGTAAACTTTTCCACAGACCCTCTCTTGTGGCTCCTGGGGGTCCCCGTACACAATTTTGAAAACCCCTAATACAAATAGTATATATTAAATTTATATACTAGAATATATAGTAAATTTTGATATATAATTCTGCTATTTTAAAGGGGTCATATGATGTTGCTAAAAATAACATTATTTTATGTATTTGGTGTAATGAAATGTGTTTATGTGGTTTAAGGTTCAAAAAACACATTATTTTCCACATTCTGTACATCATTGTTTTTCCACTATGCCCCGCCTTTCTGAAACGCGTCGATTTTTACAAAGCTCATCGGTCTGAAATGCGAGGTATGCTCTGATTGGCCAGCTATCCAGTGCATTGTGATTGTCCGAATACCTCAAGCGTGTGACGGAAATGTACGCCCCTTACCATATTGTGGTGCCCTGTCTGGCCGGAGCGACGAGACAAAAACATTAAAACCCATTATAAAAGAGGCATTTGTTGCATCCAGTTGGAACATAATTACAGATTATAATGACTTATACTGTCTTTTTATGCGCTGTGTTGCATCACGCCGCGTAAATATAAAACCATGTCTGCATTTGTGATCGAAGAAATGACAAACAACAAAAGCTACTCTACACTGCTCAAAACTCACGTTTGAATCATCAGTGGCAAATTCTTTAAATATAAAAAACGTACTTACGAGAATAAAAGTTACGCCTTCTTTCTTTGCGTGAACATTTGAGCTGCGTTATGCAAATCTTCCTACATCGTGACGTAGACATGTGGGGGCATGTTAGAACGAGCTGTTTTAGGTAGGCGTGGTTGAATTTTATAAAGAATATCTCTTTGGATTTGAGACTTTAGTCTTTGCAACTTTACAGATCTTCTTTATGCACCAAGAGCTTGTAACACTCCAAAGAGAAAGGAAAAATGTAAATAGCATCATATGACCCCTTTAACATTATCTTTCCCATCATCTATCACTCACTTAAAGTTATAATTTATAAATAGTTTATAATTTAATAAAATAATTTAGTAACACTGTTAAACAATCTTTAGCAAATATCAAAATATCCCATTTTCATACTGCACATTATCACGCTCTGATAAATTCACTTACAATATTTAAAATACCTGATGTTAGGTTTAAATACTGTTTTAGAGACAAAACAGTATAGAATTTTAATATCGGACATAACATGAAAATAACCTGCCAGAATTGTAATTGGTTTCAATTGGTGTACGTTTAATACTACACACTGTAGAAAAATACTGATTGATGCTTGCCAGTGTAAATGTTGATAAACATTCTAAAACACCAAACCTTAAGGCTCAGTGATGCCTTTTGTTAGAATTACTTCCCCACTTGTCCACTGAAGCTGTGACCCTGGCTAAGATAGATGGACTCACCCCACAGCCTCATGGGAGTATCATACACACTGGAGACAAGCAGCTTGTCAATCTATCCTGTCCTGTAATGATGTAGAGTTTGTGAACCTTTCAAGGTTGAACTCCACTACAAAACCTAACAAAAATAAGTCCACATACCTCCCTGAGTACACAATGCGTCATTGACCTGCTTGTGTACTAAACAGTCACTGAACATTGACTGTTTCAAAGTCCATATAGTGTTTCCAGATGTTAGGATTACCAGGGTGCTGATGTCACAAATTAGCACTATTCCTATCCTGTCCACCGCCTACAGAACAAATGGTAAATCAAAGAAAACGTGAACACCCAGTCTGAAACATCTCACCTACCAAACTCTAGCAGAAGCCATGAATCATTCTCTCAGACACACCCTTATAGAATGAATACACGGGCAATGGAACAGTCCCGACAGAATGACTAAGTTTGGAAAATATGAAAATATACTTCTGTATAGTCACCTGGAGTTTTTCTTTACTGCCCTCCAAGTCAATAGAAACAAGCAAGAAGGTTGATTAAACATCGTCTACTCTAACCATTAATACTTGCACTGCCTCTAATCATCATTTCATTTAACCGTTTCATCATTTAATCCCCCTCACGTCCTTCCATACCTTTCTTATTTTCTGTGGAACACAAAAGGAACAAGACGACATAATTATAGGGAATGACAGCTTCAGTCACCATTCACTTTCCCCTCATCTGTATGCTGTCAACATCTTGTTTTGTGTTCCACGGAAGAAGAAAGTCATACTACACAAGACTAGAAGTAAATAACCACAGAATTGTCATTTTATGACTGAATGATTCATTTAATGTTAGAACAAGTTTGAACAACACGCTTTCTCTTCTACGGGAATAAACAAGCCATCTACATAATACACGCCACAAGCAAACAAACCAGAAGAATGGGACACAAAAAGTATGAATCATATTTGTTTACTTTTGGAAGTCTGTTGCAGTTGTATATTCTGAAAGGAGACTCCGCCTTCTCTAGGGGGTAACTTTAAAGGGATAGTTCACCCAAAAATGAAAATTCTGTCATCATTTACTCATGTTGGTGGTTACCACTGTTGGTGGTTGCTATTGATTTCCATAGTAGGGGAAAAAAATACTATGGAAGTCAATGGCAACCACCAACTGTTTGATTACCAGCAATCTTCAAAATATCTTCTTTTATGTTCAACATAAGAAAGCAACTCATACAGGTTTGGAACGACATGAGGATGAGTAAATGATGACAGAATTTTCATATTTGGGTGAACTATCCCTTTAACCTTGTTATGGAGTCAGACTAATATAAATAGCATACTTAAAAAAAATGCCATATGTTTTAGGCTACTTTAATACCACATATCATCACATATAAAATATTTGACTTTTTTAACCTTTTTAATTCGGTCTAGGTGGTCTGACCTACCCGTTGCAAGTAGATGCGAGTGTGACACATGAGAAAGAAGAAGCCATAAATCATTCATCAATCAGCTGACAGGAGATTCCGATGGTAACCTGGACAACCGAGTGCCCTTGAATTACATGTTGGGTAAATAAGCAATACAAATAACACATGTGTTTCTTTGTTTAACTCAGCCTAGTTACCTTTATCTTCACAACGTACCCAACCTGCTAAAAACACCTAATGTGTTCGAGGTGACCTGTTATGAAAGAAGCGGTGTAATGTTCGCTTTACTGTCCTTTTAATCTTCATTTATTCACATTCATTGACAATAAGGCAACAACAATAGTTCACAGAAGAAGTTAAAGCAAATATTGTGAGATTAGTGTGTTGTTATATAAGAAAAGAAACGCGCTGGATATTTCGCGCTCAAGACTGAAACTAGTCTTACCTGTGCGGATTTTCCGGAAGTAATAAAACAAAGACGCAGTCGAAATATAAAACATAAACCACCTTCACTTCGGCTAAACTCCCAAATATGAGCATCTCATAATTTCCTTTCCCATGTTTTAATAACTGGGCAACACGGCAGGTATTAATAAACCGTAGGCGACTCAACCAGCGTGAGTTTCAGGCAAACGAGTCGGATCTGACGCGTTCACAGGAAGTTAGCGCAGGTAGAGAACAAATTCACCTTTGGACTCAGCGCGTGGCGTGCAGGTGCAGCGATTTGTAACGCGGGAAAAATACTGCATTTATAAACGTTGTTTATAAAGTTTATACAATTCACCAGCAAAGTTATTCCCCCTGTAGTGGCTGGGCTTGTCACACTGTATGGGGTAAGTTGCCACAGTGCTAATAAACGGTATTTAAACGTTAAAATATTTATGAAATACCAAGACAATCATGAAACGGGAGGAAAAAATGGAAAAAGAAAACATACAGAATTATCAAAACATCGTTTTGGCCAACAATATAAGATACAGTGTTGGGACAGTGTGTGCCTACCAATCAATATAAAATACAGAAACAAATATATACAGTAGGCCTACGTTTTATAAACTTACTGAATATAAAACACACAACAACTTATAAACAGACCCAATAGCAATAACAGTGTGACTACATTTATGACAAACACCCTCATTCTGAGAACACAGCTCAGTTAAAAACTTCCTTCATTATTAGCCTATATTGTTGACACTTGTTTGAATGCTTTCCAGTTAGTTTTATTGTGCTCACTTGTTATTTTCAACTGTTATAACAAAAATGATACTGATATTTTTATTTGAATTAAGTTAATTTAATTTCCTAATATTATTCTAGTACTAATATTATATTATTCAAAAAAGTGTGTGACAACTTCCCCCAGTCTCCCATGTACACAAAATCTCAATGGATTCATTTATGTGGCTTTGGTTAATCAGCAGGGCTATCTTATTTGTCTTCTGTATGACTGTAGCTATGAATATTGTGCATTCTCCACATGTTTTGACAATAGTGTTGTTTAGTGTCAGCAATTCATTAGCGCTGTGAGAATAGCTGAAGTTTGAACTCAGACAACGCTTGTATGGGCATCATTCATTTCAGTATAATGCACTTGTCCAACTGTTAAGGGTCCTCGTTCAAACAGTTCATGTGTATAATTGTTTTATGGATGCATAATTAACAGATTAATTGCAAGGACCTTTGCTGTATTCTCTGAGTGGTTTTCATCAACTGACAACCCAGCAGGAGTATATCTCAAATTAAACTTTTGATAATAACTATAATTTTAAGAGAATAACCCTTACGTGTTAATTGTTCTCTCCTACTCGGAGTGAGTGCAAAAGTGTCTTCCTAAATGATGTCCAATAAAGTAATAATTCTTTGTTTGTGATCCTGCCAGTTAAAAGCTCTTTGACACTTGAACAGTGTCGGCTTCTACCCCCGGCAGGATGCAAGGGAAGTCTCCCCTCATAAAACCTCTGCGCTGAGGCTTGTTCCCTCTGTGATTTATACTCCTGTAAGTCCAGCAGATAGAGACTATTGCAGATCAAACCAATCACTGTTCTTTAATGTTGTCCATTCCTCAAAATACTATACTAATAGTGTCCATTAGAAATTACACAGTAATTAGAAAAGAATCAAGGTCAAACCTACAGGCATTATGACAAACAAAACCTGTTTTTGCAGTGAATTATACAAATTATTTTTATATTTGTCATTGTTACTAAATGTTGTTGTGTGAGCTTGTACACTTGTCCAGTAACAGTACACAGAGTGATGCACAAATATCACATAAGTTAAATTTATTAATCAAAAGCAAACTAAATAACATTGTTTTCTTATAAGTGTCGGCTTCTACCCCCGGCAGGATGCAAGGGAAGTCTCCCCTCATAAAACCTCTGCGCTGAGGCTTGTTCCCTCTGTGATTTATACTCCTGTAAGTCCAGCGCAGATAGAGACTATTGCAGATCAAACCAATCACTGTTCTTTAATGTTGTCCATTCCTCAAAATACTATACTAATAGTGTCCATTAGAAATTACACAGTAATTAGAAAAGAATCAAGGTCAAACCTACAGGCATTATGACAAACAAAACCTGTTTTTGCAGTGAATTATACAAATTATTTTTATATTTGTCATTGTTACTAAATGTTGTTGTGTGAGCTTGTACACTTGTCCAGTAACAGTACACAGAGTGATGCACAAATATCACATAAGTTAAATTTATTAATCAAAAGCAAACTAAATAACATTGTTTTCTTATGCAGAGATCAGCTGTGCGAGTGCCACATTTGTGCAGCTGTCCCCAGATGTTTACTCTCACGATGGATGACTGACGGTGAAAGCTTGTCATCGTGGCTGTGGTAAGTTATGTAACTTGTAGAAGAAATAATATATTTTTTAAATCCTTCAATGTACAGTCTTTATTTTATCTATAAACCGATTGCCATTTATAAACATAGTGGGATCTGATAATGGTACAATAATTACATCAAATGTGAATACAACAGAAATGTATTTTCCTGCATTAGTAGCCACTGTATTCTAAAACATTCCAACTGTGACCCTGGCTGTTGACGGGAACGTCTGTGTATGAAGACACAGCCAACGTGAAAGGAAACGAAAAACAACAATGGCAACAATGAGTAACAGACTGACCCTTTCGCTGAATCAGTCCTATTGGCTCCTCTGTTTGAGCACAACTCCCACAAATAAGAATGAACCTGTTTGTCTTTCCTGGGATCGGTAAACATCCTCAACACAAACAGAAGAAAGTCACACCACCAGGGCAGCTGCACTCTCACTGTATGTGTCTTTTGATGTCTGTTGGAGGGAACTGATAATGAAGGTTCTTACGTCTTAATTCTTTTAATTGTCTTTGTCGTTGGACAAAGTACACATGTGTACTCACAGATATATATCCACTGTAACATCCTGCATCCTTCTCTTACCAGGCACAATTAGACCTAGTGCAGGTGCAGTGAATATTACAGCTCTGTTGCTTGGAGGACCAATGAAAGCACATTAACTCCACAGGCAGTTCCCCACATCTTATTCAACACAGACCCCCCTCCTCCCTCAGCCAGACAGCCAAGCATCTGTTTCAGGCTGCAGCTTGCACCCCCAGACTTCAGGCTCTGTCTGGCATCCACATGCAGGCCCTAAATCAATGCCTAGGGAGCACGCAGACACAGCCCACCCCCGCTTCGCCTTAGTTTGCCATTCAAGTGTCACTTTAACAATCTTCAGCCATTAAATTGGGTAAATGTATTTGAAATCTTTGATTCAGTGTGCTGTTTTGGTGAAGCATGCTCTTACTATTCCCTTAAGTTCTGGGAAAATTGATTTTGCTAAAAAAAGGAAGTTAGATTATTTCCATTAGGTCAATGTCTCTAATGTTTTAAGTCATAAATAATGCTCTCTACTCATCCATAACATATCTAATATAAATATAAAGTACTTTGCTCAGTGAGGCAAGTGTGCTGTGTTAACTTTTCACTCCACTTCACTCTAATTGCCCATCTGCCATTCCTCTTGTAGCTATCTGGCTCTCCTTGCAGACATCACCTCTGGGGCTGTGTTTGCTTGTTTGTACCTGTCATGTGGGCCTGCTTGTCCACCCAGCATGCCACTTTGGTTACATCTTATCAGTTTCTTAAAGATCAAAGTCCCATGGTGATCTTTATCAGCCGATATACCTCCCCTCCTTCTTCACTCGACCTCCATCAAAGTACCAAAACTGTGTATATCATGCCTTTAAGCACTTTAGCCTTTCCTCTTCTTATCAACAGAGAAGGGGTTTCATTCTTCACAGTCCAATAAGGCCTTGGAACAAGAGAAAGAGACCAGAATGACCTGTGTCTTCACAGTTACATAGAAGAGCCCATTAGGGTTAACGGGGGTTAATTCAACATTGTGAATCTGAGCATGTTATGTAAACTCTCAGTCACTCTGTGAAGTGATTCATGTAATTTATTATTATGCTATAAAAAAATTATCTTTATCCTTAGCTGATTTTCCTACCATTAAAATGTCAGCTGAATAGAGCTAATACTTTTTCTTTATTCCCCCCCTGGTAGGTCCTCAAGTGTATTTCAAAGTCAGCCTAACTGAACATCTATGCATTTATGGATATGCAGACAGCACAGACGGTCTAGGGGTAAGTTACCAAAGTCACGACCTTGCCCTGACCTGGGTTAAGGAGGTATTCATGCAGCTCTGGACAAAGCTGTGGAGGAGAGAGACTGAGAGGCCAGGCGGTTGTGCCCGAACAATAGCCGCCGCACATTCAGCCTAGGAATTACACAAAGGCCAGAGCTGCCCCCTTCACCCTAGTCACACCTCACCATAGAGCTGGCATTTCACACTCCTCTGTGAACAGCCATTCAATCAAACTACTGTTTAACTTGTTTTTTTGGGTCTAGCTTTTTAAAATTGCGACATCATCTGTGTTAAATCCTGGCACATACTGCTGTGTGTTTTTGGAAAAAATGGTTTCTTATAATGGATTTACAAGCCTATATTATGTGCTGTTGTTTTAATTATGACGAAAGTAGCCTTTGATTCAAATTTAAGTATCCAGGTGTAGTCGAGAAAAGCCAATAACATTAACCCTTTATTAGACATTTTAGATGATGTTTAATGTGAAGGTGTTAGATGAGTGCAGTTAGTAGGTACACTAAGGTCAGTAAGATTTATTTGACCAAAAATACAGTAAAAATAGCTAAATATTATTACAATTTAAAATAACTGTCTTCAATTTGAATATATTGTAAAATGTAATTTATTCCTGCTAAATTCTTTACTTTTTTTTTTACAGTTATTACTCTAGTCTTCAGTGTCATATGAGCCTTCAGAAATAATTCTAACATGCTGATTTGCTGCTCGAAAAACATTTATTGTTATTATCAATGCTGAAAAAAGTTGTGCTGCTTAATATTTTATTTTTATAATATTTAATATAATATTTTTTAGTTTTTTAGTTTTTTTAATAGAACATTCAAAAGAACACCATTTATTTTAAATCTAAATCTTTTGTAATATTATAAAAACCTTTTTACATATCTTAATGACCTTAAACTTCTGAATGGTAGTGTATGGTCAAAAAAAGAGAAAATAGTACTAGATTATAGAGTATTATGGTACATGGTGGTCTTGGAAGTACCATCAAGTATCATGGAATTTGAGCACCAAGGTATATTACAATGTACCACAGTATTACCATGTGATACAAAAATATATATAATAAAAAAATGGTTGTTTTATTATAATTTAATAATAATTAATTAATTTATGCATTTAGAAGACGCTTTTATCCAAAGCGATTTACAGTGCATTCAGGCTATACAATTTTTACCAGTATGTGTGTTCCCTGGGAATCGAACCCAGTAATCATCATTTGTGAGCAGAAACTTTTATAAAGAGGGTGAGAAAGAGAGGCTAGTTCAGAAAGTATTGCACGAGTCAGTCTCTCTTCCTCCAGCACTCCATTTCAAAGCCAGGGATCAAGGGCAGACTTGCGGATGGCATACAGTGAATGACAATAGCTGTCCCCTCCGCTCACAGCCCCCTACAGTAGAGAGAAGAGCAAGACAAAGGAGCTCTGGAAGTTCCCAGGTTAATAAGTCCAGGACACAGAGTCAGTGCGGGAGTCAGGACCCTATCCACTATAGTAGATGCAGATCACAGAGGAGGTGGGTGAAGATGGCTAACAGTGAATAAACAAAGGTGAGAACATGATTGAGAGACACATTAAAGGGGCCCGAGAAGATATTTTCTCTCGGTAGCACACAATGTGTCCATCTTGTCAAGTGGCTCGTCGACTAATTGATAAGACATGCGCACACTTCACACCTGATCTTTTATAAGTATCACTCCATTATCTTGTAATTGGAGCCGCATACATATGACTGAAAGATCAAAGGAGTCCTTCTTGTCACATACAAAGGAAGTCCCGGGACTTTTACTGCTTCTGAGGGCTGAAAATTCACTCATTCTCACTGCGGTCAGATCACAATGACAGTCAACATGTCAGTGATTATTGAATGTGTAAATATAGAAACTTCCAGAGGAGGCTGTTTACTGTTTCACTATGCTGCAATATGACTTAAACCTGGGTTAACTTGAGTGGTATGACTATCAGATGTTGAATAATCCATCAATATGCAATGATAAAACATCTCCCGCACTGCTCTAAGCTATACCAGCCCCCCAGCGCAATGCTGTGGCTCTTTTGAACAGACTGTCATTTCCTTCTCGGGGCACTGTTATTCCAGTAGCCTTTGTGAAAAAGCCAAGTGGCCCAGCTACAGACAGGAGGTGGGATCTTCACAGGCAGCTGAGGTTGTCGACTCAGCAGGGGAGGGAGGCGCACATCGCAGGGGGATACAGGCTGAAAACAAACACTAGCCCTAACAGGAAAGGAACTACAAGACCCTGCTGGGAAATTAGGGGGACTCATGTGCTCATTTTCATACATAGGGCAACATGCCACAATGTGGCATCCTTTATTGCGTTTGTTGTCATGAAGGGTTTGAAGGTATGACTAGCATGGAGTGTAGTTGTTTACGTAACTCACAGTTTGGTGGTTTAGAAGATACTGACACAAACAGAACACCCACAAAACCAGTGTCTGCTTTGAAGATGAAACCTGACCCCCTTTTACATGTATTTTACTAAATACTTGCTCCAAGTTATAAAATGAAGCCATAAGATTGATGAACAGGATGAGTTCCCCACTGAACTGATACTGATGCATTTGGCAGATTCAACATTAAATGCAACCACCCTTAAATAATAAAACAATGCTTCTAATTTGATATACTGTGAATTGCTCTGCTATTAATTATGTGAGGTTATGAATGCACTGAAATAATTACAACATATTATTAACTTAAACTGAATAAAAAGATATTCCACATATGTTTTCCCTTGCTAATATTAATAATACTTTACATACGTCACTTCGTCATAGCAAAGGTTAACATCATTATTTCATTTGTAATTCATACTATCTGTGGTTTTGAGTAAAGACTGCCATCTGCTGGCTGTCTGACCAGCAGACTGGATCATCATAAGACACTGCTTGACAATTAATATAGTTTGTCTATTTGTTGATTATATAGAAAGTATCTATTTGTCAACATCTTAAGAAAAGCAATATACAATTATGAAAACTAATACTTGTATATGCATGCAAGAAAAACTACTACTACGGTCCTCAGTGTCACATGATTCTTCAGAAATTCTAATATGCTGTTGAAAACTGCTTAATACTTTGTGAAAATTGTAATTATGTAATGAATATATAAAGTGCAATATAAGAGCATTAAACTTTTGTAACTTTTGAATTTAATCCACTTTGCTGAATTTAATCCACTTTAGTATTATTTTCTTTTAAAAAAAAAATCTTTGTGACCTCAAACCATTTGTGACCATTATACTTAAGAAGACTTGAGAAGAACGCTGACCGAAAGACTACTGAGGACTATTATACAGACTATTGTAAAGACTTTCATCTTATTATATTTTTATTAAGGATTTAAGCTGTATTTTTTATTTTAAACTGTACATTTCATGTATATACATAGCTGATTCATTATTTGTAGTACTGTATTTTGCAATTGTGTTCAACTTCAATTGAACAGTTGAAGATTCAACATAACTTGATTTCATGTTTTTGGGCCAAGACTGCCATCTGCTGGTCATTTACTGGTACTTATCTGTTGCTACGCTATATCAATCACTGCAGCTGCAGCAACAACAAAGAGTGACTGTTATTTGGACGGAAGAGAGATCAAATTGTTATTTATTTCCTCAGATTTCTTTAGAATATACTGTTCATAATGTGCATTCATCGAGCAATTTTATACTATCATAGGCCTATTACCACAGTCCTCAACACTTTCCCAGCATATTAAACACACAAGAAATATGAGGGGCAAAAGTATCAATTATTATATTATATTAATTTAAACAGTTATTATCAAACAATTATTTAAACTGCGTGTTTTCTGCGTAAAAAATAAGGGTCGTTTTTGGCTTTGGACTAAAACAAAAAGCAGAAGGGCTTAGTGAAAAATGCAAATTCATTACCGTTTCCCGGTAACCGCTGTAAACAAAGCAGCGCAGCACCTGATTTTGCAACTTGCAGCGCTCATATTTAATAAATTAAACCATAGCCTTTTCAAGTGTAAGCTATATTTAAATTTGCATGTATATTTGTTTGCTTGTTTGTTTTTCCACCGGAGCACCACCTGCCTTCTTCTCCCGTCCCATTTCTACCAGTGTGACCCTGTCCTTCCCGCGGTAGTCAGCACTGTTGTAGGTTGCCAAGTTGAAGGATGTGTCGATTGTGTGAGAAGGATGCGTTTCATACAAGATCTGGCAGCTGGGCAACCTTGGAATTTGTTGACGTGATTATTCATATAATGAGGTTTGGGCCATACAAATTACGGAGTTTTACCGGAGGCGAATGCAGCAAACATATAAAATACGGGAAAATATTTAAACGGGATTATATGATATAATACGAGAGAATCCCCTGAAAAACGGGAGGGTTGACAGATCCATTCATTCATCCTTTTTCATAAGATGTATATTGGCCCCTAAAGCGAAAAAAGAAAACACATTACATTTGTTTTTGGCTCTCTACGAAACACTAAATGTTTATGGCATGTCTTTCCATCAACCAAACTTGCGCATGCTCAAACCACACCCCGTCTTCACCGAAATATCCACCAATGTGACTCTCTGGCCGCTGAACGACATGTTGCGCTGCAGCTGGATGGCTGTGTATGATCAACAAAACTGTTAGTGTGTTCAATTTCGTGCGTTTCTTCTCTCTCCTTTAACGGCCGGAGAACAAACTCGTTTTTCTTATGAAGTATGGCCACAGTCAAAAAGGACGACCGACTGACAAGTTCTCAAAGTTTACTGTGCGTCGGTTTTGCCGGGGTTTTCAGCAAAACTGTAACGTCTCCTCTGGAAGTCGTGAAGATTTTGAGTCAAATAGGAACGTTTCACTGTAAACGGGGCTTCTTGCACAGCTTTGTTTTTATCTGTCAGAATGAGGGACTTCGAGCTTTTTGGAAGGGTAACATGGTTTCCTGTCTACGGTTGTTCCCCTACAGTGCCATACATTTAGCAACTTACAAAAAGTAAGTATTAGACATTTTTACTATTAAATAATGAATAGTTGATGATTAGCATTTATGTCTGATGCACGTATTGATGACTAAGATATGATAAACTTTAGTTTTACCGGAGGCGAATGCAGCAAACATATAAAATACGGGAAAATATTTAAACGGGATTATATGATATAATACGAGAGAATCCCCTGAAAAACGGGAGGGTTGACAGATCCATTCATTCATCCTTTTTCATAAGATGTATATTGGCCCCTAAAGCGAAAAAAGAAAACACATTACATTTGTTTTTGGCTCTCTACGAAACACTAAATGTTTATGGCATGTCTTCCCATCAACCAAACTTGCGCATGCTCAAACCACACCCCGTCTTCACCGAAATATCCACCAATGTGACTCTCTCTGGCCGCTGAACGACATGTTGCGCTGCAGCTGGATGTGTATGATCAACAAAACTGTTAGTGTATTCATTTTCGTGCGTTTCTTCTCTCTCCTTTAACGGCCGGAGAACAAACTCGTTTTTCTTATGAAGTATGGCCACAGTCAAAAAGGACGACCGACTGACAATGTACTTTCATACCTTTACTCAAGTAAACATAATTCAAAGTTTTACTTGAGTACAAGAAAGTACTACATTTTTATTGTTCTTAAGTATTAAAGGTAAAACAACAACTTTTACTTATGAAATGTAGTGCAGTAAAAAGTACAACATTATGCTTTGGAATGTAGTGAAGTTAAAGTTTTCCAAAGAAAAACACTGATAAAGTACAGATACCTTTTAAATTTACTTGAGTAAAGTAAAAATACTTCTACTGTCCACCTTATAACCTATATTTAGAAACATCAAAACTAAGCTCATAAACTTTTTTTTTTTACTTTATTTTTATGAACTTCAACACAATAACAAACAAACAACACTCCTTCATGGGTACATACATAAATATTTTTCCAAAGTATAACACAAAAAGTGAAAGAAATTTTGGCCTGGTCAACTGGTTACAATATAAGCCAATATCTGTAAGCATGTATATGTGAATATTTGTGGTCATACATTCATAAACATAATACTCATTTCCGTAGGGGTACTATCAAGCAGCCGTTGATCCTAGTTACATACAGTACATTTACATTAATGAATATACATATTCCACTTTGGCATATATCTGTCTTCTCTCTGTTTTGATATATAGATTGTCCATGTTTCTTAAAAGTCTCTTCTTCTCTTCTAATTAATAATATTACTTCTGGATCTCTCATAATTCTGCTTGAAAAGTTAATGGAACTTAATGTTTGGATTACTGTGGATAGGTGCTGTTCCCTTCTCCATTGGCTGCTATGCGGTGTATGTCAATTTGGATAAGCTGTGGCAGGAGCGTCATGTTCGCTTCACATCTTTGCAGAACTTCATCAATGGCTGTCTTGCAGCAGGAGTCGCTCAGACGCTCTCCTTCCCCTTTGAATCTGTCAAAAAGAAGATGCAGGTGAGAATCTATTGAGCACAATATTACCTGTGTCGCAGACTTGAGCCCCTAAATTTGTTAGAAAGTCATACCTTTTTAACTTGGCTGTGGCCTCTTTGTTCATTTATGTTAAGACTGAAATGTTAAAATGTTTTAAAGAAACATGAATTTGAATTCTAAATAGTTTTTGCAACAGGTCACATGCAGGACACCATTATGAAGGACACAAGGCCCTGCAGCAGCTGAGAATGTACATAGTGTCCAGCGTCTGTCTATGCCAAAGATAAATTGTCTAAAGATAGCTGACCTCTCACACACAGTACACATAATGGTGTATCTGATCTGGTTCCTATATGTTTTGTTTAGCTAAACTAGAAACAAAAAGTTCTGCTTTTTCCTCTTTTGCAAGTTAAATGGCAATGTCAGGAATAAACCTTCCAAAGCTGCTAAATGTTCTGAGACTTTCAGTTTGGTGCTAAACAAAGTCTCTATAGACACAGTAAACAAAGCCCACAGAACACACATCAAGAGGGTTTAAGGGTAGATACATTTAGGTGAATGCGGTACAGTAGGGCAATCAGTTGTTACTGGAAGACAAATGTTCATGAATTAAATATAAACTGAACATTTTAGCTTATTCTTGTTTATAAACAACAGTGTCAGTATTCTCTTATGGAATCTTATGCAAGTATGCAATTATTTCTTAATGATCAGGAATATTTCTTCAATCTTTACTCTAGGCCCAGAGTTTTCTTTTGCCCCATTGTGGAGGAGTTGATGTCCATTTTAATGGAATGATAGACTGCTTCAAACAGGTCATCAAGAACAAGGGCGTCATGGCTCTTTGGAGTGGCCTTACAGCCAACATGGTGAAGGTGACGTGAAGGTGTTTTATATGCATATGTGGTGACAGAGATAAAAATAACCCAAGCATTGTGTGTTTTCTGTGTAAATGTAAGTAAAGTAAGTAAAATGTTATTTATATAGCACTTTTAAAGCTACAACGCACAAAGTGCTTTACACAATATAAAAACACAATCATAAAAGATACATTTATGAAGAGCTATATACAATATATGATAAAGCAAAAAAGATCAAACCCAAAAATACACAAAATATTAAAAGCACATCTATACATGTATGTTTTCAAGCGGCATTTAAAAACAGACACACATTCAGATGATCTAATATCCACTGGCAAACTATTCCATAGTTTTGGAGCCCTCACTGCAAATGCCCTATCTCCTTTTGTTTTATATCTAGTTCTTGGAACTGCCAGCAATTAATTAAAAGAAGATCTAAAACATCTCCCTGTTTCGTACGGTCTCAGAAGTTCAGCTAAATACAAAGGTGCCAAGCCGTTTAAAGCTTTATATGTCAATAAAATAATCTTAAAGTTAATCCTAAAATAAACAGGTAGCCAATGTAAAGAAGCTAAAACAGGTGTAATATGATGAAATCATTTTGTTCGTGTCACTAATCTGGCAGCAGCATTCTGCACTAATTGTAAGCGTGATAAATTACGATGATTCAAAGAAGAAAACAAGGCATTACAATAGTCAAGGCGGGAAAAAATAAAAGCACGAATAAGCTTCTCTATCATTAAAATTCAAAAACCGTCTCTCCTTAGAAATATTTCTTAACTGATAAAAACAAGACTGAATCAACTTTTTGACATGAAATTCAAAGTTTCAATTAGTATCAAAATAAACACCCAAATTTCTTACTACCTGCTTAATATTTGGAAAAACCCTATTTAGAGCAAGCTCAATCTGATTTTTACTCGAGCTCTGACCAATTATCACAGCTTTTTTTCAGTCTTTAACTGCAGAAAGTTTAAAGCCATCCAATTTTTTTAATCTATTAAACATGCTTGAAGGACATCAAGACTATTCAGATCCTTGGAACTCAATGATAAGTATAACTGTAAGTCATCTGCATAACAGTGAAAATTTATATTATCTTTTCGGATTACAGCACCTAATGGAAGCATGTAAATTGAAAATAAAATGGGTCCTAACAGGGATCCCTGCGGAACTCCACATACAACTTCCCCGACCCATGTTTTCGTATTAATTAAAATAGAATGATCAACTGTATCAAAAGCTGCAGTCAAATCTAATAAAACTAAAACTGAACATTCACCAGCATCCTCTGCCATCAATAAATCATTAGTCACTCGTAAAAGAGCAGTTTCAATACTATGGTCTGCTCTAAAACCAGACTGAAATTTCTCAAAAATATTATTCTGATAAACGACCTTCAGCAATTGCTTCGCTACTGCCTTTTCTATTATTTTTTAAATAAAAGGTAGTTTAGAGATAGGTCTATAATTATTTTCAGTAACTTTACTAGATTCCACTGCAGAATCTAATGAAGGCTTCTTCAGGAGCGGTTGGATCGTAGAAATCTTTTGCTCCTCCGGAACACATCCAGAAACAAGAAAACTGTTCACTATAGACAGTAGAATAGGACCTATAGATCCAACCACTTCTTTAAACAGTCTTACAGGAACCACATCATTAAAACAACTTGAAGGGTTCAACTATTGCACAATCTCATAAATATCCTACTCTGATACAGGTGAAAAGGAATCCAACAATACCTCCCTACAACCTGGATTATCCTCACATTGAACCAAAGGAGGGGAAATTGAAGCCCTTATATTTGCGACCTTGTCAAAAAATGACATAAAAGATCTATAGGACTCAACGCAATAATAGGCAGCGGGTTTGTCAAATCGTTAATTACATTAAATAAAAATCTAGAATTGTTATGGTTGGTGTCAATTAAATTAGAAATATAAGCAGATCTTGCAGCTTTAACTGTCTAATTAAAAGACACCAATAAACCCTTCCAACGCTTAAAATACACATGTCTAGTAGAGTCTAGTAGATTTCCAAATTCGTTCTGCTTTCCGACACTTTCTCTTTAATATACGAATATCCTCATTTATCCATGGTACTTGATTTACTAATGACCTTGTTTTTATTTTCACTGGGGCCACTGAGTCTAATATTGAAGAACAAAGATAATTAAAATCATTCAACTGATCAACTCTAGTTGCATCATATGTCCAGTCATCCGTTAAAACACTAAAATTTTCTGAAAATTGATCAACAACTTCAGCGTTAATAACACAAGATAAATAAGTAACACTTGTCTTAAATTGTTTCCTTTCTACGGCCAATTGAACATTAAAAACAATGCTTTTATGATCTGATATCATACTATCCTCTATTATAAAATTATTAGGTGCCAATCCAAGAGTAAAAACCAAATCCAATGTATGACCATGACTATGTGTAGAACTTTGACACATGTTGTACTAAATTGAAATATTGAGTAATATTTAAAAATTCATCAGCTGCATAATCATTCACCCCATCAACATGAAAATTTAAATCTCCAACAATAATCATCTTATAACTTAAAGGGGTCATATGATGCTGCTAAAAAGAACATTATTTTGTGTATTTGGTGTAATGAAATGTGTTTATGCGGTTTAAAGTAAAAAAAAAACACATTATTTTCCACATACTGTACATTATTGTTTCTCCTCTATGCCCCGCTTTTTTGAAACGCGTCGATTTTTACAAAACTCATCGGTCTGAAAAGCGAGGTGTGCTGTGATTGGCCAGCTATCCAGTGCGTTGTGATTGGCCGACTACCTCTAGCGTCAGACGGAAATGTTACGCCCCTTACCATACTGTGATGCCCTGTCCGGCCGGAGAGACGAGACAAAAACATTAAAACCCATTACAAACGAGGCATTTGTTGCATCCAGTGGGGACATAATTACTGATTATAATTTACTGTCTTTTTACGTGTTGCGTTGCATTGCATCGCGCCGCGTAAACATAAAACCCTGTCTGCATTTGTGATCAGAGAAATGACAAACAACAAGTGCTAACGTTACTCCACACTGCCCAAAACTCGCGTTTGAATCATCAGTGGCAAATGATAAAAGAAAACGTACTTACGTGAGTCAGAACTGCCGGCATTTTAGTCTAACGTTACTCTCCCAGCATCAGTAAACAGTCCTCCATAAAATGTGCTGGCGATCCAAGTTGAAGTATTTCCTCAGTGACCAGCACAGATCAGCTCTAGGCATGACGAAGCGGATATCGTCCTCTTTTATATCTCTTTGGATTTGAGACTTTAGTCTTTGCAAATTTACAGATCTTCTTTATGCACCAAGAGCTTGTAACACTCCAAAGAGAAAGGAAAAAATGAAATCGCACCATATGACCCCTTTAAAATTAAATCAGAAAGCATTTCAGAAAATAATTTTTTTAAATGAGCATTAAAATTTGGGGGACGATAGATTACACAACAAAGTATTGTTTTTTTCCCCAATATCTTAAACGGCAAAACTTCAAAAGAAGAAAGAACTGAAACAGTTTGATCTGAACATATAAAACACTCTTTAAAAACAACAGCAATGCCTCGACCTCAACCACTAGGCCTCGGCTTACTAAAATACTTATAATTTTGAGGACACAACTCATGAAATTGGGTATGCTTTTCATTCTTTAACCAAGTTTCCGTTAGGAACAAAAAATCTAAATCAAAATAAAAGTCTTCTTAGACAGTGATCTCATATTTAACAAAGCCATCTTAGATGGTTCTACAAAGTTTTATATTTCATTAAAAAACTCACAGGGTTGTATTACACAAACATTTCCTGAACAACAGTCTGCTTCTTGCACTATATGAAATCAATACAACAAATTGTACCATGAGTTTCTTGAGCGGCCTCTGCATGAAATAACATGCTTAAATATTTTTAATGGGTGTTTGTGGAAACGCCTTATATAAATAATACATTTCCACTTCCTTGTAACTAATATTATGTTTTATTTTTACATTACAGATTGTCCCATATTTTGGCCTGCTTTTCAGTTGCTTTGAGATGTGTAAGCAAGTCTGCCTTTACCGGAATGGCTACATAATTTCTCCACTAAGCTACAAGCCTAAACCAGGCGTGGACCAGAGCCTAGGCCCATATGAACTGCAGGAGTTTAAGCACTACCTGAGAAACAGAAAATCACACAAAGCACAGAGTTCATCCATAGGAAACCGCTGGTAACTAATCCAAGAGGAGTTATCAGTAATAAACAGAACTCTGAGAAGTGCATTGATAATGAGTATAAGGTGTTTGCACTGCTGGAAGGCACGATGTATTATTCACAGTTGTACCTCTTATTGTATTTAACTTCCGATATTAAGGATTCTGCACATGCATACTTGAAACAAGTTCATTTCGTACATTCTACAGTACCTCAAACACATCAGACTTACAGACTTGCACTCCACCGAAAGAGTGTTTTTATGAACTGTGGAAATGTAAAACCTCTGTTTTAATCACTTCTCAAGAAATATGTTGAACATAATTTCAACAGTATAGAGCAATGCCTTTGTCAAACAAAGTATTAGTCTTTTACTGGATTTTAGCTCTTGGGCTTTTTTAAAAGTCTTCTGTTATTTATAAACCACATGCTTTTAAAGTCATCGTTTTTGCATTTGCATATTTGATCATATATGGCAGTATGATTTTGAATGTGCATTGTAATGGAGTAAACATCATGCTGATCTGGACACATGGTAACCCAGTAACCACTGTTACTGTTATTTGTTTATAAATATCAAGGAATATTGATAATATATCAAGCAATATCAAGGCATTTTTAAAATGTGGCACATGTTAAGATTAAATCTTTAAGCACATTGTAAAAATTATGAAGTTTAAGAAATAAACATATCTTAGTCCTTATTGTCATATGTTATTATCTGCTGTATAATAGTATTATATAATACAAACAAAATTGAATTGCATTAGTAGAATTGGTAGTGATGCAGATAGTATTGATTTTGTATTGCGTTGTGTAGTCACATGTTCCCAAATTGGACCACTTGCTTTGCCACACAGTCAAAAGTCATGTGAAGGACTTCGTACTGACATGTTGGCCTTTTTTCTTTTACACATATGCCCTTGGAGATTATTAACTAAAGACAGTCAGCGATCGAGCTAGTGACAAACATGCAAGCTATGTCACCTTGGAGAACTGCTTCCTGGCCTGACAGCTGAAACGAAAAACTGGACAATCCTGATTCTCTTGCTGTATTGAATTGTCAGTGTGCATCAAAATCGGTGCAAAAAAGTGTTTTAAATATTATTACTCATGAATTATTGACCAATTGGAAACACATTTTTCTATGTTTTAAAAACTTCCTGTGCAAATTTACGCTTTCCACCTTGAGAAGGCTTGAGGTTACCTTTCTAACTTTGAGCCATTCATCTCCGTCATCATCATAAATGGCCCCGCCTCCTTGAAGCTGACGTTTAGTCGACGGTCCAATCAATTCTTAGAAGCGTTGGGTACGTAAACTCTCGCGAGACGAACCTTTTAAAAATCTCTTCTCAACTTCTCATTCGGCCATTTCGAATCAGCCGGCATTCCACGCTAGTCCTGCGGCAGAGCGGGATTGACATCTTCAAGCTACACCTCTCCAAGAACATCCGACAATGAACGAGACCGCCATCTCTTTCGCCAAGGACTTCTTGGCCGGTGGTATTGCCGCTGCTATCTCTAAAACCGCCGTGGCCCCCATCGAGAGAGTCAAGCTGCTGCTTCAGGTAAATATACGCAGTAATATTATCGGGATTATATAATCCCAGATTAAGAAATTAGATGACCTAATGGACTAAAATGTGAATACAACCAGCAAAGTGTAATCCTAGAAGAGTTTATGATTTAAATAAAGCCCAAGAGCATTTTCAGATTTTAATCTGCGGTATTTTAATTAATGTTTAATTGATCATTGAATAGAGAGAGCCTAACGAAATGGTGAACGTGTTGATTAAATGAGAATCTTAATCTTTGTGTGAGCAAAGGATGTTTTGGTACACTTTGAGCCGTTTAAAATCGAGCTGGTCGTTGAATAATTCGTTAAAAGATCGACTAAGTTGGGCCTTAAGTGCTCCGTAACCTTTACCAACCCTCCTCGAGAGAACATCCTGAGAAATGCCTCAAGCTCTTACCAGTCAGCGAGCATTCGACTGGAGTTTAACAGCTGAATGGGTTTATTCCTTTAGTATGGATTTTTAAAAAAAGGCGTATTTTTAAAACGCTTCCGCGAAACACGGTAAACCAGCATCCTCACAGATCTCGCCAAGGTCGCGAGAAGGGGAGGCCTGTGAATAGCTAGGCCTTTATTGCTAGCTTGCAAGCTAACGCTCGCGTCCCAGAACGACGAAGTCCCAGGTATTGTTTAAAAGGACACGTTGTATTATGGGCGTATCATATACTAACATTTTGATGTAATATGTCATGTTTCTAGTTTTCACACCGTTTTACAAGAGTGTAATTGTTTTTGCGGACAATTTCGGCTAGTTTTACGGAAACCGCCTACCGGAAGATATCGCGTATTTTACTCGTTGCCGGCTTTTTATCGTTTAGCATAATCACGTGTTCGTGGTTCCTCCTTGGTTTTGCTCTATAAAGAAGAAACTGGTTTTATACTCGTTTAAGTTGCTTCAGTTTGGGACATTTGTAATCGTGGAGGCTTCAATTGATCAACTTCAATCACTGTTTTCCATTGTATTGTGTGCATTCATTGATTTTTTTTTCTTCCTTTTTTCTGTGTTTACAGGTGCAACATGCTAGCAAACAGATTACAGTGGATAAGCAGTACAAGGGCATTATTGACTGCGTGGTGCGTATTCCCAAGGAGCAGGGCTTCCGGTCGTTCTGGAGAGGAAACTTGGCGAACGTCATCAGATACTTCCCCACCCAGGCCCTCAACTTTGCTTTCAAGGACAAGTACAAGAAGATCTTCCTCGATGGTATAGACAAGCGCACCCAGTTCTGGAGGTACTTCGCTGGTAACCTGGCCTCAGGTGGTGCTGCTGGTGCCACGTCCCTCTGCTTCGTCTACCCCCTCGACTTCGCAAGAACCCGTCTGGCCGCTGATGTCGGCAAGGCTGGAGCAGAAAGAGAGTTCAGCGGCCTGGGTAACTGCTTGGTAAAGATCTCCAAATCTGATGGCATCAGAGGTCTGTACCAGGGCTTCAATGTGTCCGTGCAGGGTATCATCATTTACAGAGCTGCCTACTTCGGCATCTATGACACAGCCAAGGGTGAGTTTGAGTTGCATTTGGGGTATCGTCGTTAATGTGCCATTGCTGCATTCACTACATCTGCTCTTTCGTCTTTTAGGTATGCTGCCAGATCCCAAAAACACCCACATTGTTGTCAGCTGGATGATCGCTCAGACTGTGACTGCTGTTGCTGGTATTGCATCCTACCCCTTCGATACAGTCCGTCGTCGTATGATGATGCAGTCTGGACGCAAAGGAGGTCAGTTACCACTTTTAAGACCTTTCCAGTAAGTTGACAAGATAAAGCAGTGGATTGATCATGTGTTTTCTTTTATTGCAGCCGACATCATGTACAGTGGCACAATTGACTGCTGGAAGAAGATCTCACGTGATGAGGGTGGCAAGGCTTTCTTCAAGGGAGCCTGGTCCAATGTTCTCAGAGGCATGGGTGGTGCCTTTGTGCTGGTCTTGTATGATGAGCTGAAAAAGGTCATTTAAGCGTTCCAGTCCACCATTCAATGTGAGATGTTTAACTGTAACATATCTTGTAAATTTGGAAGGACTCTCAAATTCCGCCTTATTTATAGGGACCAACTAGTATGTCAGTACTAGTTGTACTGGGGGAAATTGTTTTTGCGGTTTTCTTTTGCCCCGGTTTCTTATTTTTCTTTTTGTTCCCCTCACCATACTGTCGTTCCCAAAAAGAAAGAATGCCAGGTACTAAAATCTACCTGTTTTCCAGCCGGTCTGTTTTTAGTCAATGCAACAATAAAGACCCACTGAATGAACCTACACCGTAACTTGTGTTTTTTTGTTTCTACCTATTTATCTTGCGTTACAGGTGTTGTGATTCAGCAGTTTGGATGGCTTCCGCCCTGTTCTTAAATTGAAACAAACTCTGGCCCCACCCTTTAAAAACATGTCAGCAAGCTGAACTAGCAGAATGATTCACAGGCAGAAAGCCCTCTAAGGCCTTTTATACAGCTTAGAGACTTGGATTGTAAGAAATTGCAGTGATTCCCTAAGACCGTAAGAGTAGTGGGGCATTTTATGCATAGTATTGAAACAAATCACTTATATCACCTTCAAACTGCACTGCCGAGAGTTGTCACTTGGAAGTGTCCAAGTGTTTATTCAGAGGCTAGACTTCTCACATGCCTTTAAAAATGTTCCTGCGTGTCAGGCAGTATTTTATTTTCTTAAGATGCAACCTCATACCCTGTTGGACTTCCAGAGTTGTGCTTGAGTCTGAGCCAAGGACAGCCGAGGGGACACTTGTGCCCCTCAATGTAATTCAGTCCTGGTTTATTTTGGAGCCCTACATATACATATTTAAGTGTTTTGGAGTATCATCTCAACATTTGTATGTTAATTTATGTGCATCTGAATTTACATTTGTGGTAATTTAGAGATTCCTTACTCAAGTCTTGACAGACCAAAGAGGCAAAAATCTTTCCAAATCATCAATTGAGCTTAAAGCCAGTAGAGGAATCACAGGAAAGATATCGAAGGGAAGGAGGGGACACTTGTGCCCCTCAATGTAATTCAGTCCTGGTTTATTTTGGAGCCCTACATATACATATTTAAGTGTTTTGGAGTATCATCTCAACATTTGTATGTTAATTTATGTGCATCTGAATTTTTACATTTGTGGTAATTTAGAGATTCCTTACTCAAGTCTTGACAGACCAAAGAGGCAAAAATCTTTCCAAATCATCAATTGAGCTTAAAGCCAGTAGAGGAATCACAGGAAAGATATCGAAGGGAAAAAATGGCTTTAAGTTTGGGCCTCTGTCCATTTGTTGCAGGTGACCTGATCACATTCAAGAAGCATAAATGAAACCAGTTTTATAAAGGCTGCAAGACTAATGGCTCTGCTCCAGTGTAATCCAGTATGTTGGAAAAGCCGGCTTGTGCATGCCCTCTTACGCTAAAAACCTTGCTGACCTCTTAGCAGACATCAGACTAGTCGTAAATTAGCACGCTAATCTGCCCTTGCATCACCTTCACTTCAAGCATGGCGAGTTCCTGAGTATGGCATTACAGTCTGTTCAGCAGGGATAAATAGTGGATGGTGGTGATAATACACTCTGGCCATCATGGCCTCCTGATTATGGAAGCATATAGGTAGCGAAATTCAATTTAAAATGCAATATTCAAAATGGCAATGTATTTCTGTATTTAAATTTAAATTTTCCATTACCCATACCTGCAAAGTTTGGTGCAAAAGTAAAATGAAAATTAAATTTTATAATTTACATTCGCCATTTTAACAGTAGTCTTAATATGTAAATTGCATGCACATTTGAACGCTTTATAAATTGCGAAATTAAAATGAAAATGTATAACACAAATTGATGTGTAACATGTTCAAGCAGAAATGGTAGCAAAATGATCATTTAAATGCTATTTGTCCTAAATGCATTTAGACTAACAGTTAGAACACTTAGGATTGCATTTTCATCATGACGCCTAGGGATACTTGTAGCAAAATTCAATTTGAAAATGCATTCCGAGCTGACCACGCCCACCCTCCGTCACTCATTGCTTCAAGGCAGGGATTGGCGGAAGCGTGTTACGTTTGGATCGTTTGAAACATGGCAGCTCGTTGAATTCACTGGCAGATGAAGTGGAGCGTGAACAGAAATATATGAAGCGTATTCCATGCAAAAATCAAACGTTCGAACGTCTTGAGCTTTGAGCGTCTACACTGCAGGTGACCCACGTGACGTCAGCGTCTTGAAATTAGCTGGTGTTTAAACATTTAAGGAGCCACGCTGCTGTGTAAAGACTATAAATGGACATTACAAGCATTACAATAATGATATTTTATACCTAAAATAATACTCAACC